GATCCCCCGTCTCTGAAAGCTGGAAACACCGAATAAAACATTGTCAGCCTTGGAAATTTAATTTTTTGTAACATGCAAGGTAAAGGTAGAGGAGGAGAAATCCAGACAAGAAGAAGGGAAAGTGGAATGGACCCATGTGAAGGGAACCACAGGCAAGGCAGTATGTTGGCAGAGGAACTTGAAGCCAACCTCTTGGCTAGACTTTATCACCCTTCTCTCTCAACAGAAGGCTGTTTCTGAGCTCGTCTCTATAGAAATTGCAACATTTGGCCTCTGTGGCAGTATGATCTGTACCCAAGGTGTTTGTTGCGTAGGGGGGAGCCTTGGCTTCTACTTGCCGCTCTTAGTCAGGTCCCAACACCATCTCATGCCCCAGATGTGCCCAGACCTGCTGCCCCCAGACAGATGTCTTTTGGCAGTGAGGTAAAGGTAGAAGGGTTCATCCCCTCTCTTGGTGTTTCCTGACACACTGTCTTTGGAGGAATGTGCATAGACTCCTTGCATTGATCGTGAGATCAATAAAGGAGAGACAAGTCATTCTTCACATTCTTTTATCTCACAAAGGACTTGATTTTTGGTTTTTACCCAATATCAGTAGACCCATTACTGGTACAGTGCTTCCTGCCACCCATCAACTTTCTACAATACTATCAAAGTGTTCAGGTACTGGGGCCTCTTCTGACTGCAGCAGAAAACCTTCCCTTCAGACTCCGGTGCAGTCTGAAACTCTGTCTGTTATTGGGTCTGTAATTGGTGCTCAGATCCGTGTCCCTTTTCGGTGATTATTAGTCAAAAACTATACATGTCCAGAAATTGTCCTTGATGCCATACATCTACAGCTTGGTGATTTCTCTTTCAAAAGCCTGTGTGTTTTTGTTTTTGTTTTTTCTCCATTGAAAAAAACATTTACACTCCTGAATGGGGGTGGTTAATCGATTGAAAAACAAAACAAAACAAAACACTTTTCCTTTGGAAACTGCTGTCTTGCAACCTGTTACCATTTTACAACTTATGAGTCATGGTAGAGACTGTTCTGGAACATGAACATAAGACAATTTTTACCAAGTTGTATAATTAAAAAAAAAAAGTTTAGTAATGAATGGTTATGCCAATGTGTAGATTTTCAGGATTTTATTTCTTCAAACCAGAAGTTCCCAACCTGGACTATATGAACCCCCAGGGGATACAAGAAAGTTATTGAGGAGTATGGGAATACTTGGCAAATAAATGTATCATCCTATTGAAATTAATCTCTGTATCTTCTCTGTATATGTATCTTGTATGTTCTGATTTATGTATGTTGTCTTCCTATGAGAACATATGTTCCTTAAGGGCAAGTCTCGTTACTGCTGTTTTGTGTCCTTAGTGCTTAGAACCATGTCTGACACATAGGAAGTCTTAATCAATACTTGATTGTTTAACTGATTATATACTTGGGGCACATGCATGGTAAACGTGAGAATTTTTTTCATATTGAATAGTGGGTAAGAGAAGGTTTACCGAAATCCACGACATACAGGATCAGAAAAGGTTGTAAATTCTTGCTTTATGCTCTTCTCTGCACTACTTCAGGAAGAGAGAGAGATATGCTCCGTAGAAAATACTGTTTTTTTAAAAACATTGGCTCATGGGATAGTTAATTCTTAATTCAAGTCTTAGCTCTGTTACTAACCAGCTGTTTGACTTGAGGCAAGCCATTTTCCTTCTCCAGGTCACTATATCCTCATCTATAAAATAAGAAATTGGACTAAATGATCTCTAAGGTTCCTTCTAGCCTTAATATTCTCTGATTCTAAAGTCTTCATTGCAGTGGTCTTTGGTGGGTTTATTTGTCATTGGCTTTTTTCTTTTCAGTCTATCCTTTCCTTCCACCCCCTCCTCTTTTAAAAAAAAAAAGAAACTGAAAACCTATAATAATGCAAGTAAAAACTTAAAATCACCCTGCTGAGAAAATGCAAGGGTTAAGCTCTCAACACAGCATAAATTGACCAGTGGTTTTACATTTTGGATTCCCCTTTGGTATGTTCAAGTTTGGTTGGGTTCCTGTTGCTGTAGGAATTCTTAACATTGGCACTTCCTGATTTGTCAAGTTAGAGTGTGCACATATAACATGCTGTTACCAAAGGTTTCAGCAGGCAATAAAACTTGTGTTTGACCCCAACCAAAAATGGTTTGACAATACAATGCCGTATTCCTCCCCAAACTAACTGTGAGGCATCTGAAACCACGGCTTCCTGATGGTGAACAAAGTACATCACTGTAAGCCAGAAAAACTGTGGCCAGCGAACCAGAAGAATGGGAACTTCCTGGATGGTGAGTGAGTAAAATCATCTATTTTCCTAAAGCACCCTTCAGGTAATAAAGTGGGAAGAGAAGCCAGTTTCTCTTTTTATCACAAGCTGAATGTTTTGGACTTCAAGCTGAATAGGGGGGAAAAAATGCCATATAGTTCCCCTGATCATGATCCCTCTTGACCCCTAATCTTGGGCCCATCTTTCCTCCTTTTTAAACAATTCATTGAAGAAATCTCTTTTATAGGTGCAAAATAGGTCCCAGATGTACAAAGAATTAGACTTATTTCTATGAGACACACTATTGCACTATAAACTTAGTCTTTCTGTTTAAAGTCACTCTAAGGCGCTCTGCACATGCATGGTAAGTACTAGCCACTTTTGTTCTTCTCTCTCATGTGGAATCACGTGTGTGAGATGAGAGATGCTCTTATGTGGAATGATGGGAAGAACTGAGGGAGAGACTTAGGTTTGAGCCTCACCTCTAGTCCATTAAGGCCTGGCTGAGTGGCCCTGGACATCTCATGTAGGTTTTTAAGGTCTCATTTTCAAAAAAGATTATCTCTGTGTCCTCCTCCAGGTCTAAAATGCTGGACAGGCAATATGAGAAGAGAGGAAGGCTGTTGGGAAAGACAACTGCTAAGTCATTTTTCTTTTTCCATGCTACTCCTGTTTGCTTTAATCCACAGGAAGTTCCCAATGTCCTGCTTTACCAAAACCTTTCAAAACCTACCTCGTTGCTGAAAAGTTAACAAAAAACTGATTTAGAAGAGGCTTTAATTTGTGGGAAGTAAGACATTTAACTAAAACAAATGAACAAGTCCAGTTCAGTATCTAGCACACTCAAAGCGCCTGTCCAGTTTCTTTAGTTAGGCTGAAATCTTGTCAAACTGAATATTATCTGTTTTAAATGGGCCGTCGTCTGGGGCTTAGAAACTTTGTAATGTGAACATTGCTGTTGTGGGGATATTTAAAGGAATTGAACGCATCTCTACAAATGGAAGGTGGCACATGGGGTTCTTCTGGCAACCGAGCTCTTTAATTGACCATATTAAAGTTAGACATATTAAAAATGTTTTTTCACAAAAGCATACAAAGTTGAATATAACCTACATCAGTACTGCTCCGATGCCGTTTTCTCTTCAAGCTGAACAGCGGCACCACTGAACAAAGCCAGACTTTTGTGTGTGACTTGTGTTAGGTTAAAGCACTATGAAAATGTGCAGTAATGGTAATGAAGATGTGATCATGGTTGAATGTAGACAGTTCAGCCCTCCATAAAACAGTGAAGGTGGCAAAGGTCTTCTCAGAAGACCCTGGCCTACCCTTTCTGCGAACTTCTCCCTCCACAGGGGCAGCTCATTTTCCCCCTTTCCCTTTTTCCCCACCTTTGGCCACCCAGTGCCCTCCTGCTCCCCAAGCCTCTTCTTTCTGTCAGAACTGGAAATGGTCTGATACCATTTGCACTTGTGGGTTGATTGACGCTTATTCGAACTGCAGTTATGGTGTGTACCGTCAACCAGGCATTTGCCTTTTAAGTCCCTTATCTCTCATCGTGGTATAAAAGGCTTTGCCTCTCGTTAAAGGAATTTTAGGCATTGGGAAACAGGTGGGGAGACATGCTTTTGGATAGGGGAGGTCCAAAGTCATAGTTCAGGTTCATCCCTGAAAAAAATAAACCCAGTTTATCCTGCTTACTATCTGTGTGGTCTCACTGGGTCTCAGCATCCTCATCAGTAAAAGAAAGGCATTGGACTAGATCTCTAAGGTACCTTCCAGAACTAAATCCTACATGACTGTAGATGGATCATTAGAGATGAAGAAGCAGTCTCCTCCCCTTCTCACCCCACCCCCCTAACCCTGAGTCTTTCTGCCCTCTTCCTGTGGCCTCCAGCTCCAGTGGGATCAACAAGCTGGAGATAGATGGCTGGGTTTAGGCTACAATCCGAGTTACAATGTTTCTGACTTTTTCCAAGACCTTGAGCTAGCCTGGCCCTGGCACAGCCCACCCCATCATTCCCCTATGGACTCGACCCCTGCCTCTCCCTTCCCCCTCCCTTTTTGAGCACACGTTGGACTTTTTTCTCTTGTAACCTATCCCATAACCTCCCCCTGCTCCAGGGGGCCCATATTATGTTATTCAGACATCTGACCACCTTATTTTAGCTATTATTTAACAATATTTCCGTATGTTATCTCTCCTCCCATCCAGAAAATTTACCCCATGCCTCCCCCATATTATTTCTGCCTCTGTCAATGAAGTTGCAGATAAGAATGTGTGTCATTAGAATGCACCCTCTTTGTAGATAGTTATGATTGTGTGTGCATCCCCTGACTAAAGTAAAATCGTTCCACTTAAGTGTGCAAGAGAAACCTTCACAGTGTTTGCTGTTTTAAATTGGTGATAAAAAGGAATGCATTTGTGCTTTAAAAAAAGGGGGGGGGACTTAAAACCTTCAGCTTATTTGCAGATAGGTCTGTGTTCTCTGGGAAAGTGTAATGGGCCTCAGGTCAGCTGCATTGATTTAATGCATTACTCAGGCTGCCTGAGCAGGGGGAGAATCTTCTTAGACCGCATTAGAAGTGCCTCGAGCCTCTATGACTCCTTTTGATCAAATTTCTGTGAATGATGAGTGTCATGCCCTCTTCAAGCCAGCTGTGAGAGGGACTGCTCTGGGACTCCTAGGGCATGCTGGAACACACCACACCGGGCACAAAGATGAGAGCTTGCTACAAAGGTGAGAGAGGCAGACACAACTTCGTACTGGAGAACACCAAGGGGGAGGATCTTATTTCATTCCCGTCTGCGGGCTGAGTGTACATCAGACCTTGAGGTGCTCGGATTCAGACGAGAGGAAAGGGGTGGGTGATGGTCCTGCCTTCTTGTACTTGTACAGACAGGAGTGTTTCCAGTACTTCTTGTGAGAGCTCACCGAGGAATGGGAAATTCTTTTAAAGCTCAGGAAACATAAGCACCAGCACCATGGCTGAGGTAAGAAAAGTTCTCATTTTAGACATTGGAATGCCTGATTGTAGTGGACAACTTTTTTTCTCATTTTGGGGACTGTGGGGTGTGTGTTGCAGTTGGAATGATGGGGTTTGTGGAGGCGGCCCTTTGAGGGAGTGTTGTCGGTTCGGGCTTTAATGGGTTCTAATGCTGCATGTTGAGGCATTTAATGAGTTAATTTTCAAAAGAGCTGCCATACCTGGGCTACTACTAGGCTGTGTGCTCCCAAATGATCTCAAAGGGGGAAAGCTAAAATTTTAGCTTACTGCACCTAGGTGTAAACACCAGTTGGGTAATTGTTTTCAGACTGAAGTGGTCGGGCTCTGAAAACCTGATGATGTCTAATTGTACAAGTGTGGGATATACATTAATCACAATAAAAATCTTTGATTTGTGACCTAAATGTATTCTAAGGCCAAGTGCTTTAAGCAAATACATTAGAGTTACTGTGATGTATAAATGCACTGGGAGACCAGAAAGCCACACAGCTTCTCTCTGGAGTTCTTTGGGAATAAATGTCTAAGTGTTCAGCAATCGAAGCCTTATGTCTGCATTTTAGACACATTTCATTGCTGACTCTCTCTGCCTCTCAAAAACTGAAGCCAGTAATACTTTTTTCCAAATGAGGTAGGCATCTACTTGGCGTTGTGTGGTTCCGTGGAGTGTTTTTCTTTGAAGTAATTAAGCAGCTAAATAGCTGACATTTAAGACAGGCTATTTTTTCTGGCTAGATTTGGTTGTCTGTGGAAAACTAAACATGGCCTCAAATGTAAACTTAAATCCATTATCATTTTGCTAGACAGAATTATACAGAAAGCAAAGTGGCAATTACTGTCTTTTCCCCTACCCCCAAACTCCCACCATGTACCCACCATTTCCCAAATATTTTCTGTAACACAGAGGGTAGGAAGGAGAGCTGTGACTGATGTAAAAGAGTTTCTGGGAAAATGTAAAATTACTTTCCATCTGGATTGTCAGGTTTCAGAACAATTTGTAAAAGTCTGGATTGTATTTCTGAAAAAAATCTCCTCGGGGTTAGTTAAAACTGAGAGCTACGTTGAGTTTTTAATCTTTCTAAAGGAAAGCCCGATAAAATGGTCACTTGTCACTTAAAAAAAAAACCACAGATCTGGGATTTAAAGCAAAGTAGCTTGATAAACTGGCCAGACAGTGGCATTACGTGTTATACTATATTCTTTGGGTTGTGAGAGCTGCTCAAGTCTGTAATAAATTCCCCCACTCCCCTTTTAAAATTCATGTAATTGCTTGGCTTCTCGAACCTGGGGAACTGATTGTTTGCCTTATCTTTGGGTGAGCTGACTGTTCTATGTTGCAAAACCTGGAGGCGGGCTGGGTTTCTTAGTGTTCTTGCAGTCTGCAAACGGAGTCAACTTCATTAGTCTCACGATGGCACATCCCATGCATGGCTGGTGTTGCCACTTCCTTCCAGCTAGTCCTGGAGCATGATCCGGGCTGCCTTGGTTTGGATAAGCTTGTAAGGATTTGTCAGCCAGATGTGACAAGATTGTCAAGAGGCAAGTAAAGGAGGAGATCTGATATTAATCAGTGCATAGCTCGGAGCCAAACTTTCTCAAATGCTGTGTAGTAACATGTTCTTCTCATTTAGTGCCTCTCTTTGTGGCTCTGGAGCTGCCACTGGTCTAAGTTTGATGGTTAAATAGGATGCCAACTAACAGCCTTTAATTGTATGAATAAAATTCTACTGAGGGCGGGGGGGAGAAGGTGGGAATCACACTTTGTATTTTTTTTATGTTTCCTCCAGATTTTATAGTTATATTCACTAGAGTCCTCTAAGGATGAGAACACTTAAATAAGGCCAGGCTCCTAGAATATCTCTCTCCAATTCATGGTCAGAATCAGCTTTCCCATTAGTACTCAGGAATCCTAAGGAGGAGGGGCCCACTGATTTTCTGGGAAACTGTTGGAGGTGGGTTGCAGAAGGGACATTTTGAGAAAATTGTGTGTGTGTGTGTGTGTGTGTGTGTGTGTGTGTTTATGTGGAATTACTGCCATTTGGTTGACACAGGAGGTAGCATGGATTTTTTTAATGGATTTTTATGTATTTAAACAGTTAAAAATTTTAATTATTCAGTGCTTTGGAATATATAGCATAAGAGATTGTCATTTTTCCAGTATATTGTGCAAACCCTCCCCCCGGGTAACAAATGTTGGGTTTGACTGTTTTAACTTATCATTAAATTTTTGCATTATCATTGCACAATTTTCTGGAAGAGTTTTAGTTCAAGGGTACATCAACAAGCATAGAAAAAGAAGCTATAGACTCTGTTTAAGGTGAAAGGGATCTCAAAGTGCCACTTGGGATTATAAAAACCTGAGAATTTGGGGGAATTAACCAAAAGACTATCTAAGCATTACAACGCCTGTGGCAAAAAGCATATTTTAAATGTTAAAATAACTTTTGCCCATCCCAAGAATGCACATCACTTAAATGTTACAAAACGTCTAATGGTTTCAAATGTACAAATTTTAAAGTTTAAGAAAAACTACAATTAGTTTTTACTATTAACAATTTTGGTTTTTAAAATTAGATTCTCTATGAAAAAAATCACAAAACTAATTTAAAAAAATAATCACAAAGGATTATGATCATCATTACCTTTTTTATCTAATATTAAAATAAAGACTGTTATTAAGTCTGATTTCACCAGTAAAGTGAATAGTTCATCTACGTTGCTGTTGAATAAATGGATATCATTGCTTCGTCCAGAAAGTTAAATGATAGAAAGCATTGAATGTGTAGACAAGAAAATGTACAGTAGCACACGCGTAGTTAGTTCATACATGTAATCATCATGTAATTGTGATGAGGCATCATCCTTTAAATAATTTGTAATATCATCTGGAAGCATTTAGTATATTTAAACTGATAAGAATTCAGGGCTGCTTTTTAAACCTTGAACAGAAAGCTGGTAGCTTGAAATGACTAATTGGTGCTCAATAAATAGCAAACCGTGATCTGTTAGTTTGGGTTGTAATCTACTTTAGAAATGGCTTCCCTTGTAAATTTTGAGAAGTTCTGCAACGTAATGACTTGCAGATAAGCTCCCCAAAATGTTTCTTTCTCTTTGCAGTAGTAGACACATTCCAGGCTTGCATGTGTTTCAGTATGGTTCGGATTGGCAGCTTGTTATTAAGGTCGCTCTGAGCTGAGTAGCCAAGCAGTTGTAAAATGTCCAGTGAAAGGAAGGATGTCTTCCTGATTTCTTACATAGAGGTGCAAGAAGTCATAACCCTATGATCCAGGGGAGTATATAACTGAACCTCAAAACATGCCTGTAATTTATAAATGCGTGGGATTAAATATACATGATAAAATGAGCCCACGACATACAGTTTGACAGTAAAATTGAACTACAGTATAGAGTATTTGCTGACGTTTAAAAAAAAAAGTAGCAGTTGTCTGTGGCCTTAGTAATTATTTTGACAGTGCTCATTAACAGAAGTTACCCTGAGGGGCCCTGTAGGGTAAATGACTTGCCAGAAGAATGGTGGTGGTGATTTTTGTTGTTGTTGTTTTATCTTACCCCCTCACCCCCACCCCCAGTGAACATTTTCATTTAGAGATGGCTTTTATAATAAGCTGCCTTCTTTAGAGATGTCACCCTAAATTTTCATGTCTGTTTCAGGTCCAGAACTCCCCTCTTTTCATTTCCCGGGTCACTCTTTAGGGAGAAGATTATTTTTTTTTTCCTTTTTTTAAGTTGGCGAATTTTACAAATTCTACATGGCAGGATATGTTGGTTTTTTGAGAGATTATTTTGGAGTTTAAAAGAACCAACCTGCAGGCCTCTATTAATAGCAGTATGGAGCTGGCACTTTTAAAGTTTTTACAATTGAAGATTGATTTAAAGGCAGTATTTCCCATTATTCTCTTAATCTTTGAAGCTTTCCTAATTTATTTTCCTAATTCTGCAGATTCTTGGGGTTGGAATGTAGTAGTACTTCTTCACCCAATATACAATCCCATTTTAGCCAAAACAAGAAAGTCAAAAAAAAAAAAAAGAAGAAGAAGAAAACTACATCCTTTTAGTGTCCAGTTTCTGACCTCCCAAAACTCTTCACAGTTACAGCCAAACAAGTTGCAACACCCTTCAGGTCCACACATGGGCTAATTATTGTAAACTCTGCTAACATCGCCTCAGGGTGGTAATAGTCTTATTCAATGAATGTGGGGCACAACACAAATGAAGAAAGAAAACTGTGTCCACAGCAGACAGAGAAAACCTTCTCAAAACAACACCATGTGGAAAACGGTTGTCACATGTATGTTTTGGCTCAAGTAGACCTAACAATAGGTGTTGGGTTTTTTTGCCTTTTTTTTTTTTAAAAGGAGGTGGTTATAGCTACTCTAATTCTTTATCCCATGTGGATAGTTTTTGCTTTCCTGCTGTGTAAGAAAGTAGGCATCTGAATGATTTTCCTGCTTCATACCAACAGCCAAAGCCACCCCTGCCCCATATTTCAGAAACATTTCCCCTATGCTTTAAGAGATAAACGTCTGATTGCAGAGAACTGGAGGCCCTGCCTTGTCGCTTTCATTTTTCATTGAAGTATAAATTCTTACTCAGGTGCTTTTGACATCTTGTGATATACATACTGGCTTCCTTAGGCGCACGAACAGTTTGTTTGGAATGGCATTCCTCCTTTAATTATGCCTTGTACTTCAGTGGCATCCTGGGAATTAAACTGAAACTGAGCTTATAGAGAATTAACACGGCACCGCATAGCTCATGGTTTTGGTTTTGGTTTTCTTTTTAATTGACAGTAGGTTGTTTTGGACCTTCCTCAGCAAAGTTCGGATCCCAGTGCAGCTGTTTATAACTCTGCTAAGTGTCTGCTTCATGGACAATGGCTTACAATTGAAGACATTTCAAAGTGCATAGTTGAGCCTAAATTCTGTCTTCCAAGCTGAGTAAAATTCAAAATACCAATCCAAAAGTGAA